TTTGTATGATGCAAGGCGTTATGCGTGGTGCGTGGAGAAATAGAGCACGATCCTGATGCTTGCAAGGTTTGTTGTTTGTAGGCGAAGTGGAACATTGTATGTCTTTAAACTATTATTCTCTTGTTCTATGTTCTGGCTATTCTCTCTCTCTCTCTCTCTCTCTCTCTCTCTCTCTCTTTTGCATAAGTGAAAATTAGTAATAATGTACAAATGATTGCAACGAAATGAAATCCAAGAGGAGCGATTGATTGTTTGCATGAATGCTTGAGTATCACATTGAATGAATTCTATCCAACCAGGGGAAGCTTGCCGGAAGGCCTAATTTAACATGAATTTCATCTTGAACCATCATTTTTGCCTCTGCTTTGGCCCGCATTTCAGTTTGGCCGAGGAAGAAAGAAAATTATTTGGCATTTATGGAGGACTTCTGCAATGGAATTATACGAAATTATTGAAAATATAAAAAATAAGTACATAGAATAATTTCCTACTTATACAGACGTTCCTTGGCACCCATTTGTTGGTTATCGTGGAGGGAACAAAATAGGAGGAACTTTTGGAAATCCAATAACAACCATTCCAAGATCAAGGAGGGTATAAACGCTCAAATGTATAATGGGCAAGCATCAAATAGGAATTCTGGAGTGCTTCATAATTTCTCAATCATTCGCCCTCATTACTCTATACTTACAAAGCAAGAATCAATCAAGAGACTGGAAACTTCCCCATAGGATACGATCAGATCTAGTTTTGATGGTAGTTTGGTAGGAAGCCAGGTCCCAGCAGTGTTGGGGAGTGTTTCAAGGCCAAAATAGTACAATATAGGGGTTTAAATGGGTCGGTCGTGTCTAGGTAGGCCTGACCAAGACCTGACGCTATAAAGTAATTGTATGGACTTGGATCCTGTTGGGTCCATGTAGATTAGACCTAGACTCATCCCACCGGGTCAGTTGGGTTGGGTATGTGTCAAAATAAAAATAAGTAAATGAAATTATATAAAATAGGGAGAGTTTGAGGTCATCCCGCTAGCCGACAGCTACAGTAAACACCCAATGGTTCGGATTGAATCTTGACCGATCCAACGGTCACGATTGTAGTTCGTATTTGAATTTTAATGCTTTTCTACAAATCTGTATATTCTTAAAAAGTAGGCGAATGTAATAAAAATATCAAAAAAATAATACCCAAATATTAAATGGACCAAATATCTATGAAACTTTTAGGAGTAGTTTGGTCAATTTATTTTTTGAGAATAATTTATTTAATATTTTTATTAGGTGTGCATTGATGAGAAGAGTTGATGTCCCAAATTTCATATGATTTGGATTAGTATAAAAAAGATTTAAAATTCAAATACGAAATACAATCGTGACCGTTAGATTGGCCTAGATTTAATCTGGGCCGTTGGGCTTATATTATTCCATCAGCCCATGGGCTGACATGATGTTTTCCCTATAAAATGTCATATTTTTTTGTGATATAAAGTGTATGAAAACTACCTGTTCGGGTTGGGCCCAATCCAAGCTTGACTAGACCTAGTTAAATCCAGGATGTGCTTGTTCAAATATCTGGACTTGGACCCGACCCTCTAGGTCTGATTTGACTCAAGCTGGACCTTGGTTGGCGGTTGACCCACTCCGATTGGCAACCCTCTCGAAACACGAGTTAGTTTTTCAGGACCAGCACGATCAACTGATTCCAGTGAAGATGCTCTTGCATTTCTCTTAGGAATCTGTCTTTTGACCCAAGACATCAATACAAATATAAGGTGATCCTTCAAATGTTAGTAAATGAGCAAAGGAATGAATGCCCATCCCTTATGATTGGCTCACCATTTTGACCAAATTTTTTACCAATATAGGCATTCAATAAGCTTTGCACTTATATGGAGATAAGTGAATAGTTTAGTTGATTCAATAGCTTAAGATGCAATGAAGTGAATCAGCTTAGCTGATTTAATAGCTTAAGATGTAATACATCACCAGGAATTGTGTATATTGCATTGCTTTTGATGGGCTTTTCTGTTAGTTTTTATTTGTTTGAGTTGATGTTGACATATGCCACGATTTTGTTTACGACATTCCTTTTACATCATCAAATTAATAAAATCAAAATTTCAAAAAAAAAAAAAAACTTTTTAAGCATTTTAAAATTTGGCATCAATTATACTTTGAAAATATTTTTTTTTCTTCTTGCAAAAAGTATCTAAAATTGCATCAGGAATTGATTATTTTTAGCTGTTTCAAATGGCATAGCCAAGATAGATGCGTGTGGGAAGGGGAGAAGAGGGAGAGAAGATGGAAATGTTTAAGAAAGGTCTTCATCTCTAAAATATCAGTCAACCTCCTTGGGGATGGTCCTTCCCTTCTGGACCATCTGATAACATTCATGGACTGCCCCTTCCACAATGGGTGGGCCTATGAAGGACTCTAGGGACATTTCAAGACCCATGAAAAACCACTTAGCATCATATTGTATCACCATTGTTTGTTGGGTCGTCAAAGCCATAGAGGACGGTCCCCGAGTGGTCTTTAATCTTTAATTTAGTGTTGTGTGCTTCGCTTTAGAGCCTTCTTCAGTTTGGTAGGGAAAGCAAAGCAACTCGGTGCCTTGGTTGATTTGGAACAAGATTTTGGATTTTTTAAAAAAACTTAATATAAATAAATATTACAAATATATTAAAATACTAAAAAATGTCAAAATAAAAAATTCAAAAAAATAAAGAAAATAATTTTAAAACAGACAATTATGTGCTTCAGCTGACGAGGCCAAGCCAGGCCAAAGCGAGCCAAAGCAGGTTGAAGCGGATGCATCGGGGCTTTGTTGCACTTCGGTCTAAGCCAAAAATCCAGAGACTTTGGCCTCTTTGGCTGAAGCGAAGCGAATATGATAGCATTGCTTTAATCACACCCCTCATACCCTAAGGGCACTAGTTTTCTCTAGGAGCTATTGTCAAAGTTTAGCTTTAGGAAACCCTCTGGCAGGAAAGTGGCTGAGGTTGTGGTGGTAGCATGCCCCATACCTTAGTCACAAATCGTGCTCTCCAATTCCACTGACTGCTTTGAAACCTAACCATTTAAAAAACGGGTAGGGGCTTGTATTCCCCACTGAATTACCCACAAATAAGAGCCCTCTGGCATCTTCCACTAGAAATGGATTTTATCACCTTGGATTACAAGCTACATAAGCCATTTTCTTGTGATTTCTTGGATCGAGTACTTGAAGAATTCATTCGGAATCAAAACCTAAGAAATGACCATATCTCGGTCTCTATTGGATTGCAAGCTACATAAGCCATTTGCTTGTGATTTCTTGGATCGAGTACTTGAAGAATTCATTTGGAATCAAAACCTAAGAAATGATCATATCTCGGTCTCTATTGGATTACAAGCTACATAAGCCATTTGCTTGTGATTTCTTGGATTGAGTACTTAAAGAATTCATTCGGAATCAAAACCTAAGAAATGATCATATCTCGGTCTCTCATTGTTTGTTCTCTAGAGTCTTCAAAGATTCTTTTATTTCTTCAATTCAAATGCCCTAAAAGATTGCAATTCAACACAGTAACTATAATGTTATATATCATCATCACCATCCGACCCTTTTCCCAACTATTTAGGGTTGGGTCCATGAATCATGTTCTGCCATTTTGCATTATCAAAGGCCATACCCTCAGTTAGACCATAAGTCACTATTTCTTTTCTCACTACTTTCATCCATGTTCTTTGGAGCCTTCTTTTTTCTCTTTTAGAGCCTTCCACTTGAACCAAATCACCCCTCCTAATTGGTATTGTTCTAGGTTGCAGATGCACATGACCAAATTGTCTAAGTCTACTTTCCTTCACTTTATCACCTATTGGATTACCCTTAAGATCCCTCAAATTTATTCAATCCGATTTCTATCTTTTTTTGTCTTACCACTCATCTGTGATCTGTCTCAACATCCTTATCTTAGCTACACTCATATGTTGTTTCTTGACCACCCAACTTTCTATCCTATTAAGCATGGATGGTCTTACAACCGTCGTATAGACCTTCCCCTCGAGTTTAATCGATGGACAAAAGCACATCTCCACCTTATCCACCCAACTCTAATTCTATGAGCAATATCTTCCTTGTCTCTCCTTTCTCATGGGGAGATTGAGTAACTCAATATCTCCGTATATAGGAAAAGTTTTAAAAATGCCTATAGGCAACAGTGTTTCACCCTACCACAGACCTAGCATGTCTGTGGCAGTTTATTAAATGGAGCCGTAACGGACAATGCTATGTCCATGGTGGTTCTGCGTGTTTTTTTTTATCACCTCGAACATGCTAGGTCTGTGGTGGTCTTTAATCCTCGCCGTCCGAAAAAATCAGATGGTGCCGAGTCTATAGGCAAAAGCACTATTCATTTTCACCCATACGCGTTGCATAGTGGCATATAT